GGGGGCTTGCTTTCCATTATTCTCTATTTCATATTTACTCGGATTTTTCCCCTTTTTTGCACTTTAAAACTTCCTGGCATTAGCCACTTGCAGACTCGAGTTGTATTACGACAAGCACCTTGCTTCTTTTTCATTATATTCTCCCACATGACAATGCTTAACGCGCTGAGTACACTTATTTAGGCAGGAAAGGGGAAGTCAACCTTTCTACACTAATAGATATCGTCTTCATTTTTTAAAAATCTAAATATTTGCATAGGAGTTTAATATTTCCTTGGCTTGATTATCATACTAACCTAAATAACAACTCGCGATTCCGGGTTCAGAGGGGTTTTAAATAACCCTCCGAAGCAGACATTCAGGAACCTGCTCCACATTCTCATTTACCCAAATTATTTACAAAACAGATCGTTGTCTGTTGTAAACCCAGAGCTGACCTCTACGTTGGGAGACTGCTAGGTATTCAAAATTATTAATTTTCTTCCGTTTTATACATGTGGGTTGTTAGTCAAGTTGGAGTGTCGGGAATTGGGAAGAAAAACTGTGGAAGTAAAAGAAATATGTTCCCACGAAGAAGGCTTAAAGTGACTCATCTTAAAGGCGTTATTTTTTTGGACTCCCTGTGTCATATTAACGTTTTTGTAGTCCAGAATAATTGTACATTCATCTAACTGGATCAGTGATCACAATTTGCCCATATCTTTTAAAAGTTGATAGAACTGCTGAGGTTTCCGTTGTTCTCTTGAAGTCCATTACTTTGCAGTATCAAAACTGTCAGCTCGAATAGACAAAACTGGAAATAGCCTCATTGCAATAGGCGAAATGATGGCTTGATTTGTTTTGTCTTCAAACTGCTAAAACGGAGTGCAAGTACAGTGCTGCCTATTGTGTCCAAAACACGCATAATTGGATCTGAAGAAACGGTAATTAAATTCTAAATACTGTACCTGTTATAGTAAATAAACGCTCTTTTATGTAAAGTCGTCTTTCCAGAGGTCAAATGAAAAATCAATACATAAGCAAGAGTTAAACAATTTTGAATAATTTATTAGAATTCTACCAAAGGTGTAAAATAGCTGAATCTTAAATAGTCTGTCAATAAAAAAACTACCTTAATGGGATTTCAACAACAAAAGGAAGGCAATATTAGCAAGAAGTACTGTAATCCAGTCTAATCTGATGCCTCAATTTGCCACGTTAGAAAATGTTAATGACACGATTATATTTGTCATCCTCAACTACGTCTTTATTTTGTGTTTTTGTGCCACTATTTCAGGAAGAACTTTCCCACCTTTCCAGCCACTTAATCAACGTGTTAATGTTTACACGGAATCATTAAACGTCCTATCACTTGCAAACTTCCGATTGCATTACTCGCATCACAATTAAATATTTACACTGGAACACGATATTTCCTCCTGTATTATGGAAGAATTCTCTTCAAAACCAAGAGCAGCAAAATGCAGTAGCAGAAGAGCTTCCCCCAAATGGGCAATTTTAGTGTTTGCTTGAACGCTGAGACCAAAAAAAAAATGTATAAAAGTCACTGTACGCATAGGATGATCTCCCTATCGACCCCGTGGGGTAAACAAAACGCATCTGAACTGCAACCAAATTTAGACCAGAGGCAGCCGATTCCTGATAGGAAAGTAACTAATTGTGTTCCTGGGGAGGGGGGGGGAAGGGGAAGAGATTATGCAAGGAAACAATAATAATCTAATGTCAAGATGCTGTGAACAGCATGGGGAGAGATTACTTCGTGAGTGGAAGTACATCGAGCATCGCCAGGTTCCAGCTGCACAAGCACACTTTTAAATGTGGCACGTCAGTAAACATCTGCTCGGGAAATATCTCGACAAAACAAGCTCAGAGTCATACAATAATGTAACCTTCAAAATTAACACGCCGCTCGCTCGCTGTCCCTGCATCCCTCGCTCTCATTCTCCCCTGCACACAGTAACCGACCAAAGCAGCCCTGGTCTGCGGGAAGAGCCGGGTCTTCCCTCGGACGCTGTTACCTGCAGGACTAGGACTGGCTGCTGGGTAAATAAGACATTTGTAGGAAGCGCTCCCCGTTCCTTGTTCTCTCTCCGAGCAGACTTGTCATTTTTCATTTTGGCCACTCCCCTGCAGATCCTGCCCATCTCCCCTGTGTTTAACTAACTCAGGACACTAGCGCAAGATCCACGCCTAATTAAATTAATTAGGGATTCTTGTCAATCCTGGATTAATGGCCGAGAGCAACCCCTGGCCACAATGATCTGAAACCTGGAGGACTAGTGATCTCTCTGTCTGTCTCTGTCGGCTCGGCGGTGCGGGGCTGCTGCGGGAGAAGGGGGTTCATTCAGAGTTCCAAGGGGAGGTAATTTGCTGAGAACAAGGGGCAGGCTTTGCAAAGTATAAATAGTGCGACTTCAATAGCAACATCGCGATCAGATCTGAACTCTTAGCGGGAAGAATTGTCAAAGATCTTCACATTCAACAAGATCGCTCCGGCTGGGAAGCCATCAGCTCCCATTTCACTCCGGCCCCGTTGCGGCGCGCCCCCTCCCCTCCTCCTCGCCCCATTGATGTGTTATTACTGGGGGCTTTGGAACAGCAAAAGGAAAAAAGCAGGGCAAGGCGCCTGAGCTGCGGCGATGGAAGAACTTACAGCTTTTGTCTCCAAGTCGTTTGATCAGAAAGTGAAAGAGAAGAAGGAGCTGATCACGTACAGGGAGGTTCTGGAGAGTGGCCCTGTCAGAGCAGGCAAGGAGTCGGGCGGCTCCGCCGAGCCGGGCCGGGAAGACGTGAGCAGCCCCGCGGTCCGGG